AGACATAAAGACCTACTAATTAATACAATACAAGTACAATAAACAATAAAGTCAATAAGGGTGCCAGGGTTGGGCTGCAGAACATGAAATGACCACTAGATGGTAGCAGAGAGAACCAGAACACCATCTAATGGTTATCTAGATATCTGCATCCCAGATCTGGTACCTCTAGTTTAACAGGCACCAAATATTGTCTTTTTAATGTCAGTTAAAAAAAAAAAAAATTCCAAGCTTTTTGAAACTTATTTAAGTTGAATTTTTGCAGATGTATGACTTATGAATTGCACATGTAGTTCTTGCTTAGCAGCCACAATTTGGACCAGCAATTTGGTTGTTATGTGGAAAATCATGTGACTGCGACTTAGGATTTTATTTCTACCTTCCATACTGTACAGTATTAATTCTGCTTGTTGCAAGTAAAAATGCACGCTGGCTGCGAAGTACGCAAATGATGGTCACGTGCCTGAGACACATCACAACCGTAAATGCAAAGTTGTTTTTTTTTAGGACCATCGTAACTTTGCACAGTTGCTGCACAAAGCAGTCAGTAAACAAGGACTAACTATAATGTAGCGTTGCTTTTTTGTTTGGAACTTGTGCTCTGGGAACTTGGGTTCGGCATTAGAGAAAGCAATAAAATAACAGAAAGAATAATCCTAAACCAGCAACCTACTTGTTGATGATTAGAGTGTCTGTCAGATTGCCCAAAGACCAGGCTGCTTTGGCACGGACATTTGGAGAATTATCACAGAGTGAATTCAGAATGGTGTTGGCTGCGTCAGCAACAAACATCACATCCTAAGAACAGATGTTGGTCATTAATATATTGTTATTCCCCCCCCCCACTATTTGCTATGTATCTGTGTAATTTCTTCCTTGACACAATGAAAGTTTAAGAACTTGCCTTCTGCTCTAAGGAAACAACACTGTCCTACATTTCTACCCAGTATGTTCATCATCTGATTAATCTTTAATTACAGATGACTGTATCCAAACTTGTCTGGTCCCCTGATGTTAAAACAATCTTGGAGTATGTTTTTATTTCATAGCTAACACAGCTATTTAGAATCAACTGCAATTGCTTCAACCCACCACTTATTCATACCCTCATCACAATCTTATCTTTAAATTAATTGCTTTTCTGCACTTGCTGGTGACCTTGTGACTCTACTCTACTCTTCAATACCACACCCCACTTGACTCTCCTTTCTTGCTGATACTGACTTTCTTTTGTAATCTCCCCCAACCCCATTTCTACTTCAACTACTGTGTTATTTAGTCTTGCATTTCTTTTTTTCCCCAGGAGATAAACAGACAGACACACAGACATACACACATTCATTCATTTCAAGTTTTATAAGGCCACCCAACTCAGATAGTGGACTCTTGCTTACAACATAGAAGTCAAGGTGATTGTGGTTCTTGGTAACTGCATCTCTGCAGTATTCTCAAAAGTGGGTTGCCACTGCTTTTTCCTAGATGTTTCAACCCCCCAATCTGGCCTACCATCCTGGCGTTTCCTGGTGCCTGCCACTTAATGGCTGGTTTTAGTTCCTGAGATCAACCAAGGTTGGCTAGATGCTGCCATCTGCTGAGGCAAGAGACCTCACTTGCAAACAGAGATTTAAATGCCTGATTTTTTTTTTTATTTGGAATAGGACGCATCACACGGCTCCCACCCTAATGACATTCCAAAAGTCTTTGAAGACCTGGCTGTTCTCCCAGACTTGTGGCTAAGGTAAATGCTGAGCCTCTGCCCTGTTGGTTGTTTTTTTCATTACATATTATGTTTTCCAGGCATATGTTGGGAGGAGGGTCGGGATGGGGTTTGCTTGGTTTTATGTTCCTTCCTACTTTTTAAGGAATAGACATCTGGAGTCAGGCGGCTCTAAAATAATAACTATTATTTAACTATATAATAAAAATCATCATCATCATTATCTACGGTAAAAGGAAGCAAAGAAAGTACCAATAGTAACAGGCACCTTGGATGCAATCCCAAAACAGCTGGAGCACCAGTTGAACACCATCGGCACTGACAAAATCATCACTAGTCAATTGCAAAAGGGAGCTTTACTTGGAACAGCTTCCATCCTGTGATGATGCCTTTAACACTATCAGACAACAACATCTGCCTATCTCAGGTCCTTGGGAAGGACTTAATAGGTGGATAAAAATGCCAAACCCAGTCTAAACATCTGGCTGACTGTGCGACCAACTGTAATAAAAAATGATGCAGCGAAGATTCTCTCCATGGTGAGGGATGTCTGTTGAGACTGAGGGGCTTTTGTGCAAAGGAAAGGAGTGGCTGCAAGAATCACTCTGATCTGAGAACAGATCTTGTCAACTGCTCTTTTACAAAATACTCAAAGCCTTTCCCAGCTGTACAGAACAAGCTTCCTCCATCTCGAAGTATGACGCTGCTTAGGTGCTGGTTGCAGAAGCTTCATTTCAGACCCCAAAAGACAGACATAAAGCAAAAACCAAAGCAGCTCGTGGTCTCACCTGCTGAAGGCATGGGAAGACAACATAGACCCCAAGCGCCCGTGAAGCTGCAGCTTTCACCAGAGGATTCTCACTGTGGTTGAGCCCAAGAAGGATCGTGATGCAGAGGATCTGCTTGTCATCCTGCATCAACAACAGAAAGAAGCCACCCCTTGAGCACTGCAAAACAAAACTCAATCTACTAAAGGGTTTCACCCCAGGATTATCGATGAGTAAATTAAAATACCAAATGTGGAAACTGAGGTAGCGTCAAAGGACGGCAAAGCACTGTCACAGTGACTTACTGGGGGGTGGGAGGGGAAGCCAGAAGCAATATGGTTCTAAACAGATATAGCTAGCTACCATAGTTCTGGGATCTTCAGAACCCAACAAGATATGTTGCAGGTACAGTGAAGATCAGTTTAAACATCACAGCAAATAATGCTATAAAAGCTTGACCGTGGATGAAGGTAGTATCTAAACTGACAAGCAAGGATAGATGAACAAGTGGGAAATCAATATTAGGAAGAAGGTATGCCCATCCAGCTAGCCATAGTTTGATGCTACTAACAACTACAGTGATGGCTATACTTGACCTTCACACTGTCTGATGGAGGTATGGGTGAATTATGAAGCTGAGCTGAGGGAAACAAAGAAACAGATTACTAAATCTTTTATTGCATTTTGTAGGTGTGGAACTAAAAAAAAAAAATTGGCTTCTTAATGATTTCCCATGTGGTCTGAACTGCATCAGTAACGCAAACAGCACCCTTATTTATTTATTTATTTATTTATTTATTTATTAATTAAATCTCTTCCCACCCATCTCCCCCAGTTAACTATGTTTAAGGCATGTGCCCAACAAACAAGCCCCACTTGCTACAAATTGTACCCAGCCATGGTTTATTACAGTTTGTAAATGTGTTTGGATGAGATGGGAAGCCAAACAGCATGATTTAATGTGTTATGTGAACATGCTCAACGATGTAAAAGACTGCAGTTAAGCAGAGAAGGCTGAAATCCATGGATTACAGGCGATCTCAGATAATGTTCTCAATGACCCAACTAGAACTTTAAAAACTATGCATTACACATGGAATGTAGAGAGTTGCCTCCTGCCATGGAAGCAGTGTATCAAATTAAAATATAATCTTTAGAATAGGCCAAGAATTCTTGGATAACTGCACTCATGCCAAGAATCAGGGAACCTAACTTCCTGAACAGAATCACCGCTCCTGTTAACAAAGCTTCCCTTTTCTGATTGACCATCTTCCCATACTACTGAGTTGTTACCAAACAGAAAGACCATCCCATAGCTTCTTCTAGTAAGACAAGAAAGGGGAGACCAGATTACCAACTGTCACCTAGGCAGCGCTCCCGCCTAATGGTAATAACACAACACTGGCTGGTTCAGGCACATTTTGGTTAGTATGTCACAAGCAAGCTAGGATCTCCAATATAAAGGCTACCTTGCTAACCGACATACTGTAGCCCACATCCTATCAACCAGGAGGTACCCACAGTATAATGACAAACTTAGGAAACTGTATCAATTAAATATTACCTCCTGCCTTTAATTTCCTTTCCTTATAACTTTTACTCCTTTATCTATTCCTTACCCAAGGATACGTATGCAAATAGAAAGACCGGATATAAATCAAGCAATAATATTGGCTTGCAACATGAAGCGACAATATGCTATTTTGCCAGCTTTGCCACCTCAGTGACCCTGTGTGTCTGTCAGCCAAACCAAACAACATTTACTTATGATTTTCAAAATCTTGCATTTGCAAAACAAGTACAAACACAGGTCTTAGCGATGCACTTACGGGGAGACGGCTGAAAGCTTCTGGCAAAATAGAGGAGAGGGCGTCACAGGTGCTGGTCTGGAGAGTGGGGTGCTCAGAGTTTTGGAGGGCAGCTGGTAAAGGTCCATTCAGCATCCTCATCCAGAATGTCACAACCTACACAGTGGAGAAGAGAATCCTTGCAGTTTCACTGACAGGGAGATTTTCTTTTTTCATGAATGAAGTAAGGCAAGTGCTACTGTTTGCAAACACACACATCCCCCATCAACAGAAAATGGCTTCAGTTGTTTTTCAAGGCAAGACTTGATTCCTACTGATTTCACGGAGCAAATTATTCAATCAGGCTTCACTGGGAGGAAAGCAGGATTGTGAATTTTTGCCTTCCTTCCTTTGAGTTGTTTTCCATTCCAGCTGCCCTTTCTAAGAGCTTAATTAAGAACTAGGGCTCAAGTCTTCTTCATTCATCTTTCCTCCTGAATTTTTATCCTTTCATCATGATTTATAGGGACCTCTTTACTACTGATGGTTAATGAAGCTACCTTAAAAACTTTTTTCAACTGGAGATGGTGGAAAAACGTTTCAGAAAATCTAATACCATAATACTACAGTACAATACATACCAAGTCAACGGGTACCCGTTGATCTGGAGCAGCAACTAGGCCTGGCTTGTGCTGTTGTATTACACCCACTCCAAGTTCATCCAGAAGCTGCCAGAAACAAGAAAAAGAAAAGAATATTATGGATTTGTAAAACAAGGTATCATACGGATAAAGATATACTGGACTGGAACTCATATTGTAATAAATCACAATGTGGTTTGTTTTGGATTAATTTATTCAACTGTGGCTTATGTAGTAACTAGTTTAACATGAATCCCATTACTGATAAGCATTCCTTTCTTTTAGAATATGTCAAGGAAAAACAAATGGGGCTTTAATACATTCCCTGTTGGTTACTTTGACATGTTCTCATATTTTTTGTATGAATAATATTTAATTGTGACACCGAAGTATAATTTAGGACTTTAAATCACCAAATGGAGTTGCTGACTCACAAAATAGGTAATTTTGAATCAAGGCATTATTTAATACAATCTGGCACAACTACTAATTAATTTTTTTAAAAAATCACGTTATGTTTCTTTAAAAAAGGATTTCCTATAGGAAACATTTTTTAATCAACAAGGAATCAATATTGCTATAAACTAAATATCATTCTCTATAAAATAAGCCCTAATAAAACAAAAATATTTTCTCCAAAGCTTTGGATGGACATTAGTACTTACTTTTGCCCCGTGGAGCTGGAGAGATGGATCTGTTTCCTCCATGCATTTACAAGCCACTTCACCCAGTTCTAGCAAATAGCTTTGGGAAAGGGTAAAATAGCCCTTGACAAGCAGTGCTAAAACCTATAGTGAATTGAAGCAGGGAAGGGAGGGGAAGAAACATAATGGGAGTTTTGATATTTGATAGGAAACTTAGACCATGACAGTGAATGTATCTAAACTGTTGTCTAAATGTTATTGTCAAAACCAACTGTTATCGTTGATGGCTGCCACTTTTTCATTTTATTCTCGTTGTATATTCTTATTTTTATTTTGGATTATTACATTAATATTTTTAACTGTGTTCACCACCCAGAGTTGTTTATACAAGCCGGGCAGCTATATAAATTGAATAAAATAAACTAAAACATAAAACAAAATTAAAATGACAATTTTTGTCAGCTTCATTATTTGAAAATTGAAATAAATTATCCAGCATATTAAAAGTGAACAGATTTACTGTCACCCCGTGGGCTTTCAGATGGATGAATCCACAAACTGAACACTGTTTATTAGGTATCCACCCCAGAGCAAGATTCTATTATCCAATGCAAAAGTTAAGTTAGGATAGTGATGCTAAGAAGGCACCATTCTCAGTTGTAACTGTCCTGGGAATGACTACTGCATCGCTTGAATAATTTTGGAATTTCCAGAGCAATGTTACAGACGATCATGTTTGTGTTCCAGGACTTCAGGCCTACTGTTACCATTTTTTCATCTCTATCTCTGTATATTTATGGATATAATGCACATTTATAGACCTTTTGTTAATTAAACTATCAACAAAATATAACTATGTATCTGACAACATATGCTCCTGTGGGCAACATTAACTCCCTTGGTGTCTCAAAGTTTATTAGCACTCAACACCATCACCAGCCTGCCTGTTCTATCAGCAACCAGCCGGCCCACTCCCCTTATCTATATACCTGCAGCGCCTCCAGCCGAACTGGAGAGGGTTCATATGTGCTAACAGTTGACAGACAGCTGGTGTCGCTATCTGAATAGGAATCTTCCCGGGGCAATACAGCCAGAGAGATGCAGAGACGCAGAAGCCAACAGGGCTCGGCTGGTGTCTTCTCCAGGGCAAGCGGTGACCCTCCTGAGACCAGAGGGGGTTCTCTGCGCCCTTCAGATGCACTGGAATGGAGCAGAAGGATGGATGTGCCATCACTCATCCCCAAGGAGCCAGGCTGCTGCAAAAGGAGATGAACTTCGGGCAAAGGGGCTTGAGCCGATACGATGGAACCTAGTAGCGTCAGACTTGACACTCGTACGTTAACGTCTAGTAATAAAAAGAGCACAGACGGCACACGTGAAGCACCTATTCTAAGCCAAAGAAAGATGGCACCATAATGCATCATGGGATTCTGGAGCAAGGAAGCAACTGCCGCTGATTGGTTAAGTTGCCCTGATGTCACAGAGGAGCCCGGAAGACCAAACCTATTGCCTGAACCACTTGAGAAGGTACCCAACCACCAGAATGGGCCTTGAAAAAGATACAGCAAGCCCTTCAAAAGATGGGAACCATGAAAGAAGGACTGAAAAATGGCACCGTTCAGCTAAACACGAAGGAAAAGCAGCTTCACATTAAACAGCATTATTCATCCTGCTTTTGCATATTGTGCACAGTGGTTCCATAGTCAACATTTAGCAAGGTCTCCAAAGTTAAATCTGTCCTTCCACCTCACAGAATTTTAGCTCCAGGTTCATGCAGAACTAACACTCCAGGGATAAAGCTGGCCTACATCTTCCATATCTTTGTCACAGCAGGCTTCCCATGAAACTCCTGGCTGAACTGGGATGTAACACTTCCTTTCCAACAAGTTATTCTCTTTTGAACCGTAATGCAAAAAGTCTGTTTGGTACCAGAAACAAAGAGATGATGCTCAGCAAAAACAGACATGAAGCAATGGAAAATCTGTTTTGTGGGGCAGCTGCATGGGGCTTCACAGTTCCTTATGTCACTGATTATTAACATTACATGGGAGTTCCCCACATCTACACAACTTTACATGGATGGCACACAACCAGGTATACCAGAGCTAACCAACTTCCTAACAACTTCTATGGAGTCACCGAGGTGCACAGATTATGTGCTGGCAGTGTTCCTGTGCCTTTTAAAAGAACAAAACCTGCGCTCTGAGAAAAACCAATCCAGGAGCCAAACCGCCACAAACAGATGGAATAAACCTGTTGGACATCACCCTCTGATGCTTCTGCAACTGCGACACGCAGCATTGCTTCATCCAGAACTTGCAACTGGAGAGCCACCTACAGTACGTTTTCCTGCAAATAATACCAGTAACAAAACTGCTGCACAAAGGACAATGTGAAACACGGCATACCTTTATGTTTAATGTAAGGCTTGATCTGGTTCCATACCCTTGACAGCAGACCAGGCTTTAAACGGCTGTATGGTACATTTGAGATCAAATTGGCAAGGCACTGTCAACAAGGAAGAAAGATCAGAAAGTGTGACAGAGGGATTAGGACTTCCTGGGGCCGAGTGTTATCCGTAAGCAAGTGTACCATTCTGCATTGCAGAACCAACCGGCCCTGAGGCCTTTGGCGTGAGCTGCAGGCCTGGTAAGAAGATTCCATATCCTTGAAGTATACAAATCCTTTCATTTAGCTGAACATAACAGTGTTCCTTGCTTGAAGAACAAATTGAAAAGAAGATGGCCAAGAGAGTGGGAGCTACAGAGTTGCCATCCTTGTAATTTTATGCTGTGCATGTTGTGTGTATTTGGAGGGATGTTTTTGGGGCGGCACTCACCTGAATGGAAATCCCCTTTGGACTGCTTGGGCCAACTTGGATTTATTCGGGCTGGAGGACTGTGTTGGAGGACGGCAGCACTTGCTGTCTTGCGGCGTTGACCACGCCCACTGCCCCCCCCTTGTTTGTGATCTTGGCTTTTTTTTTAATTTGGCAGCAGCTTTTTGGGGTCAGCTCCTGAGGGATTTGCTGCTTGGAGGACCTGTTTGGGCTGCTCTGGAGGACCGCTCGAGTGGTTTCTTGGAGGAGTGGGCTGAGGAGTGGCCCAGAAGATGGGCCACACCAGAGGACAGGCTGCTTTTATCCTTTTGCTGGGCCTGCCATACCGGCTGCGGTTTTGAACTTAGCAGTGCTAAGGTCCTCCTTTTGCACCATCTGCTTTGTTGGATGCTGGGGCTTTGGAGGTGCAAGCAGTGGCCAGGCGAGGGCGGGGTTGCAGTAGAGTGGCAGACTACTGTGGACCTCCCTCCACCACAGAGGCCTTTTTGCCTTCCCTCCAGTAACCTCAAGGAGGAAGAAATGCTGCAGCTTCTATCTAATGGTGAAGTGCCTGAGTGCTGGGCTGTGGGTTTCCCATTGTGAGCTGAGTATTGACTCCTCCCTCTGGGTGAGAGCCAGAGATGGACTTGGGGGGGGGGGTTGAATGGGAAGGGAGCCTCGGCCAGCTCGTGGGAGCAGCAGGGGAGGGGTGGGTGCCTTTGAATGTTAGTGTGAGTGAGTCTGAGTATGTTGATTCCTTCTTCTGGGTGAAGTTAATGTTAAGACAAACATTTGCAATTAACTTTGAATAATCGTTTAGATAAAAGAGAGCCACTGTGACACAGTAGTTCAAGTGTTAAATGGAGCTGTAATGATCAGGAGAATCTACATGAAGCAATCTAAGAAGTCTAGAAAAGTTCTACAGAAATATTCTCGTGAATAGTAAGTATTACTTTTCCATCTGTCCAATTGTAGGCAGAACGAGTACCCTAGTAGTATAAAAGCAACTTCTGTAGACAAACTTTTACCTTGATTATCTGGGTGAGGGTTTGGGATGATGATTCAGCTACCAGAGCCAACAGCAGACAGCGGTGAAGTTCTCGAATGCTGGATGCAATGCTCACTGAGAAGGGTGTGAACGCTCTCTTGTGATCATTTGCATCTTCAGCAATGGACAGGAATTGCTTGGAACCTTCCAAAATGGCCGAGAGAACTTGAAAGGCACAGGCCCGTGTCTGCAACAGGACAAAATCATTAAAACGGTTCAAGCGAGGCACCTGATGGATCCGGATTATTTTCTACATCATTTCTCAGGGATACCGTTGGAAGTCCTGGCTGTCCTGTGGAACACAGAGATGGCCAGGGCAGTTGACATGATTGCTGCTTAGCATGCTCTTCCTCTAGCAAAAGCTCAAAAGCTCTTTGGTGTACAAGGGAGCTGAAAACAGCGAAATAAGCGATAAAGGGCTGGAGTGCCAGTAGAGGAACTTCCAGAGTGAACTGGACTGAACACAGGGTAGGGCTCTCTTTAAGACCCATTTTCAATCCCACTCCATTGCAGTGGGTGCATAGAAGGGGGGTCTCCATTATGTCTGCTTAACTCCTGTGAGCAGTTTTCATCGTTCTTTTCAAATGAAGTCAACTGGACCCACCTCAACTTAGGCTCCAGTGTTGGGGAAGGTCATAAGGTGGTAATCTTGGCCAATGCTTGCCCTGTTCATATCGTTTCCTTCCAGCTTGTAGATCTCAAGGACACAGATAGATTATGTGGAAAGATGAGGATCAAATTGGGACTGGACTCCTGATCACGAGAAATTAATGCCTCCTTAATGAGGAATGTGAAGGCAGTTATACAATTTCTATTGAGGAAGTGCCTTCTGCACCCACAGGATCTTTAGAACTATAGACTAGGCTCAAATCTTCCATTCCTGGGTAAGGTTATTGAAAAATATATTATCTGGATCCATTTCAACTGGGGGTTTGTCTCAGATATGACAATGATATAGTTTTGGTAGCCTTGGTGGGTGATTTACACCAGAAAGTAGACTGGGGAAGTTTCTCCTGGATTTCTTGGTGGCTTTTGAGACCATTAACCATGGTATTATTCTGGACCACTGGAAGGGTTGGGTCGCAAGCATACTGCTTTGCAGTGTTCTGGATCTTCCTATCAGAGCACAATAAAAATGTGGTACTGGAAGTTGACTATTCAACATGTAGGTCACTGATGCATGATTTGTTTAACCTGGTAACCTACAGCTGAAATTAAATCCATACAGAATGAAGGTGATGTTGGTAAAGAAAAAAACAAACTTAAGGATTGCCTGTTCTGGATGGAGTTACACTCCTCACAAAACAAGTTTGTGGTTTGGGAATGTTTCTTGATCTTCAGCTGTCCCTGGACCTGAAGGGGACAGCTATGGTGAGAAGCACATTTACACAACTACAGCAAAAACATCAACTGCAACCTTCTTGAGCATGTCTGATTTAGCTATCCACACCTTGGTTATATCCCTCCCTCATGTCTGGCCCTGCTCATATATGTAATGTGCTTCCCCCATTCCTTTGCATTAGTATCCTAACACTGTGTCTTTCCCATTAGCCACAAAAAGGTTGTCTGTCCCAGGTTAAAGAATGAGAGCTCTCACTAGGAACCAGCCAGCCAGCCAGCCAGCCAGCCAGCCAGCCAGCCAGCCAGCC